GAAATACAAAAAACTTAGAAAGATTCAGCTTCCCTTGAAGTCGCATTAAGTTGCCTATTGTTGTAGCATATTGTTGTACTTAGGAAAAAGATGGGCTTGGAATACTAATGAATTAGAAGGCCTATAAAATGCACAATGCAGTTGAGTTATTCAGTGATTGGAAATTAAACTATATACAATGTGTTAACTCCAGCTTCAACATGAGGCTGTGAATAAGCCACCCATAATGCATTGATTTTCTCATTGATATTTAAAAAAACAAACAAACCTGTGCCACCAACTGGGTCAGTTTATTCAGAGTAAATGAGACATGGAAAGCAGGAGCACATCTGCTTCCAATATTTGTTTAAGGAGGAGATTTGGTGAAACGGGAATTTACCATGTTTACAGCCATGTGAATTTTTGGCAAATATCCTTTAGAATTTGGCATCAGTTGGAGGAGGGCACAATAGCAGCAACCATCTATTAAAATAAAGATCTAGCAATTGAGATGCTTACTTTCTTTGGTCCCCATCAAACCCTAAAACAGTTCATCTCACAGAACAGCCTGAGATTAATGCCAGTTACGTTTTGCAATGCACAGTGGGCAGCCATTGAAGTTTAACTTTTCCAACTACAACCAGGTTTTTTTTCTTTTAAAAACTGCATTTAACAGGAGACTTCCATGGACTTGGGGCTGGATTGTTCAGCATTGTTTGCAGAGTTAGGAGTGAGCTCAATGCGTGTGTCTGTGTGAGAACGGTTCCTGGTGCCCTCGCCAGTGTGAGATCTGCTTCTTGTTCCCTCCCCAGTATGGGATCTGCTCCTCTGTCCTTCCAAAGAGGTCACACTGGAGCCAGATGCTGTACGGGATCTCATGAGTCTGGTCATGCTGGCTGAAGGCACTGAAAGCAGAGTTCTATGTTAATGACTTCCTTCGAAGCAATTCAAGGTGCTTGAAAGCAAATCTAGGCTTTTAATTCAGCACTGATAACGACATGAAGCTTGCCCCTGACCACCCAATGCACATTTGCTTTATGCAAAGGGTGCAACATTCAGCAGCTGTGAGAGTTTGCAGGGTTGGTTCTTCCAGAAACCTGCAGTGCTGTGCAACTACCAGGTATATATGAATAAAGGAATACACACTGAACAAATGGGACAGACCATACTTGAAAATGCCCCCCCATCCTCCCCACACTGCCCCAACCCCAAACACAGTAATCGCAACTGGTTAAAGCAGACTGGGCTATTAGCTTAATTAACTGTTATTTCAGCAGTTCTGATTTGCATGCCACAAATTTGCTTTTATAAACCTTCTCACAAATTATAGTAAGCCCTGAAACACATGGAGTCTAACCAGATTCAGATACCACAGATAATAAACACTGCATCTTGTAAACAATGTGCACTAGCTTTACTACCAACTCAAGCATTCACAGAAGGTTTAGTTTCCTCCTCCATTTTCGATATTCAATTTAAATAGCCATGCTGTAGGGAATGAAATATGCACATCATACAACAGTATGTACAATTTTGCATGCATATTTATAACTGGGTACACAGAAACAGGCAGCAATACACCTGCTTGGCACTTGTACAGACAAACCAGATGCCTGCAAGTGTCATACATGTTCCAGCAGGCAGGTGAAGTGACCCATATCTGCATGCTCAGCTTGAAGGTCAAGCTTTGAAAGTGTAGGTTTGAGTAATGTGAGATCACTTCTCCAGCCCATGAGGTAAGAAAGCTGAGGACAGGAAGGGGATCACATAGCATTGCTGGAGAATTCTTGCCTGAACTATGTAAAAGTCCATGCCTGGAACTTGCTAGAGGATGAACCAGGTCTGTATTAAATGTAGTTGCACAAGGGAATTACTACATGTCTTTGGCTGGGTTTTAGTGCACTTTGCAAACACGTCTCTGGATAACCCTAGTCACTCTCCTGTAAAAAAGAGTGAGGCCAACTAATTTCAACAAACAGCAGGATAGTCTAAGACACAAATTGTGTGCTATCTTGCCAAGACACACATCATTAACCATAACCACCACACAGAGACATAGTAAAAAAAAAGTAATAAGAAAACCACATTATACCAGATATCATCATGTGCCAATACATGTGAGCGCTAACATCAGCAGAAAAACTGTTTTCAAAGCTCCCCACACTACTCTGCTATTCTAACTCGATCCAGGTCTGCAAGCCCTTCCTTCAAGCACTATACACCCTCATGCAAAATACAAGCTAGTGGTAAAAGAAGAGGGTAGATGTTTTATAAACCACAGGGTGACCCTAGAAATTTAAAAATTCACAATAGATTTCTTTGTTAGCTTGTTCTGCTTCTTAGCTGCAGCTAATCTTTCTATTTCAATAAGGAAATATACTTACTATAGCCCATTCCTTGGACAAAATATTTGAAAGCTTCTGCAAGCTTTGCAGGCTGTAATAGGAAATAAAAAAAAAAAAAGTTAAAAAAGTAATAGTTATCGAATTAGTCACACCACAGTATGTTTTGTATAGACCAGGGGTTTTCAGCCTTTTTTGGTTGGTGTACCCCTGGTGGCCAGTTGAGAAGCAGGGAGTCCCCTGGCAGCCGGTTGATAAGCAGGGGTGGTGGGGGGTGCCCCTGACAGCCAGTCGACAAGAAAAAACAGAAGCGCCGGCAACTTCTCCATGGCGTTGCCACGTACCCCCTGGGGCCTTCCAAAGTACCCCCAGGGGTATGTGTACCCCCAGTTGACAACCTCTGGTATAGACCTTGGGTTTTACTCAAAGCATCTGAAGTATGTCTATTTTACTTGAGTAACTCCCCCAATAACACTAGTTTTGCATTAAGATTAGTGCACCCCACTTATTACTGCAGTCAATTCGTTAACTAAAAGGTCAAGTGGACTGGGTCAGGCCCAAAATTTACTGGAAGAGTCACTAATAGAAGGCCCAAGTTAGAGCTAGTCTCACAAGAAGTGAAGAACAATAGAGGGATCAGTAATTTGTGTGACCACCTCTGACTAGTTGTAGTTTTGCCTCCATTTGCTGCACAGTTCATTTGCCACCCCAAAAAGAAACAGGCAAATAACTGGCCATGTTTAAGCATAATTCAACAGATGCACTGAAAACAGTGATAAAAGCTAGAGGTGCTACGACTGCAAGAGAACAGTTTCATATGCTCTTGGGCAAAGCAATAACTCAACCAACAAATAAGTGAGAGGGTATTATTGAAGTTATGCCAAGGATACCTCCCCATAATGTAGGGCAAAGTCTTCCTCCACCCCTACTCTTCAAACTAAACTTTTTGGACACAATCTCTTCACACTATTATCAGGCTTTTCTCATCACAAACACACTTTATCTACTCAGAGTTGTGCTAAAATAACACTCCAATTGCCTGAAGCTCAGTTTCTTCAAACTATAATAAAATACTTAGGACCCTGCTCTTCCCACCCACTTGGCTCATAATAAACAGTTAAAAGGTATATCCTAAAAGTGAATTTATGGGTCAGCCTCTTCAATGAAGCACTGCTAGAGAATTTACATCTTAACATGCCTGAGGATTTACACCATAACAGGCTTAAAAAATTCCAGCTCATTCTGCTAGGCCAGATCAATGCATGTAAAACAACCCAGGCTAGTTATTTTCTGCTCCCACCTTTCTGATCAGAAGTATAAATAGCACAGAACTAAATGGTTTTAAAATGCCGGCACAGAAGTGGTAATCCCTGTTAGTTTGGCAGATGAACATAAGATAATGCTTCTACACTGCCACCTTCCAATCCTTACACATTTAAGACTTAATTAGTGAAAATAATATCCCTTTCTAATCTTAATTTTGTGCTTGGCTGGTCTTTAAAAGGAAGAGATCAGATGACTGAGTGACATCACTATTCATGAATCAAACCAGCCACTTGGCTAATTTTCAGGAATAGCGAGTATCCGTCAAAAGAGGGCCTGTCATGTTCTGATATGCCACAAAAATAGCACCAGTTAAGTTAGCCTTCAGTAAAATCATACCTGGGAAACTTGAGGAAAGCCACCGCAATCCGCCATCTACAAGATTAAAAAAAAGTGTTAGGAGAATTCACTTCTGTATTTGGGTATTATAATAGAGTTACTGTGCATCTGACCTATACAAGTACTTCAGAGAGAAATTTCTATCCACTGTACAACTGTGAAACCTTGAACTGTGTGAAAACCTTAAGGAACTGTGTGAAGCCTTCTTGTCAAAAGGCATCCAAAAGCTAGGTCTGGAGCATGGGCATTACAATTCTGTGCTCAGACCCTGCCCGTCAAAACCAGTAGTTATATAAGCTAATTAAAAAGGGGGAGTGGGGGGAGAAAGTGAGGTAAGCTGCAAAGTTGGAAGTTTTTACAAAGGAAAACAACAATTGCTGAATGCGTTGGCTACAGATTTTGATTTTTAGCTCTATACAAGATTTCAGAACGTGACTGGGCACTGAAAAAGAAGATGGCAAACAACCTCTGCACCTCTGCTATCTGGATCCTACCACATAAAAGGGTGTAAGTTAAAGAAAGCATTAGTGGAGAGGATGGAAGACTCCAGCAGCAGGTCCAATTGCCAAGGGAAGCAGAGGAAGCCAGTTACCAGAAAGGCTAAGTGAACGTAAAAGTTTTGAAGCATTTCATTATTCTTGTCTCTCCACCCTTCAAAGGCAACCCAACAAAAACAGTCCAATAAGCATTACAAACTAGCACAGTCAGGTTACGAATTACAGGAAGTCCACAGCCCTACCTAAAATTATCTGACTGTAGAACAACCTTCTTACTTTCTAGGCTAGCAGCTAACATAACTCATAGCCTCAGCGTCAGTGAAGGTTGGTTATGCAAGGCGTTTTCCAGCTGGCCAAGGGCTGGGAATGCCAACTTTTACATGGAGCAATTTTTGGAATCTAGCCACATAACTCATTAACATTCAAACTGGGCAAAACACGCGCTTTGAGCTGCCACTGCTTTACAACACTCAGCTTCTTTAATTGTATCTTATTATATGGTACAGTAAACATTTGCGTGCGTTCTAGTAGACTCCCAGTCAGATTAGTCTGGCTCACTGAATTTTAAAAACTTAACAAAATGAAGGAGATGTGCTACACAGTGATTTAGGATCCAACCCTCCTCCCAGAAGACTCTTGACAACTTGGAAATCCTCTACATCACAATTTCAGAAATAAGGATATCCACAAGAAAGTAACGTATTACAAAGGAGGTCAGGTGTAGGACAACATATGAAAAGCAGATCATTTGCTGTCTTGTCAGATTGCTTTATTGTGGGATGTGGAAACAGAAGAAAAGGAAAAAAAAAAAGATTTTTCTCAAAAATTCACTGAAGGGTTTCTACAAATAATTAGTATCCACTGCATCGGTTGCAAAGGGTTCCAGTCAGGATTCAGTTATAGTTGGAAGCTAGACTCTACTCCGGTAAGATGCTTTTCATTTCTATTTAATTCCTAATGAAATTGGTAACTGTTAGCAATGAATCTGGTTTCAACTAAAGGAGGGGACATTTTTCAACTAAGTTTTGCTGAACTAAAGAGCCATTCTAGGTTTGATAAGGCTTACTAACAGGTTTGAATTGGGGAAGTGGAACTTAACAATGTTTCTTCACATTCCTCCATACGGGTGGTGCTCGATCCATCAGATCCATCCTGCTGGAAGCCGCGTCATCCAGCCTGCAGGGCTCCACAGGTGCAGGGAACAGAGCAGAAAACCTACTCCCACCAGGCACTTAAGTGTGGATACTCTGTACAGTAAACTGCTCCATGCGACTAGCCCTGTTCCTAAGCACAAGAGGTATGTACATACCCCATCTGCTCACAACAATAATACAAAGAACTGAGGAACTGCATGAGATATACAAATGCAACTGGGGACCAGAACAAAGCTGCTGATTTCAGGCTTAGAAACTGTAGCTACAAGCCATTATCGCAGAAATCTTTCCCTCAATAGAGATTAATAGGATCCGATTAGGGCTTAGCCCAGCTGTTCAGAGTCTCTTCCCTGGAGGTTTTAGGTTTGTACAAGCCACTCTGTCATTCCATGCAGGTTTTGACCTGTTAAATGACCTGTATCTGGTAGGGGGAAAGAAAGAAAACCAAAACAGAAAAAATTCTCCTCCTTACTGAAGTGATGATTAAGTCGGTTTCTTTCCACAAGTGAACTCTTAGCATGATGCTGCTCATGTGACCTACATCATCTACCCTGGGTCTTGGTACAGTAAGGCTGTTCATTCACTTGCTTGACTGTGTTCAGCAAAAATAAAAGTCTAGCTAAGGAATTCCAAACAAAATTCTTGATTAGTAACACTTCTGCTGATGTCCTGGCATTAGAAGAAGCTCAACAAGTTCACTGGAACAGCAGGTTACTAGCAAAAAAAACCCGCTTTCTCTCTCATTAGCTGACCTCTCGAATCCTAACAAGTACCAATTTTTAAAAATCTATTCAGAGCCAAGTTTCTAAATGTTCAGAAAAGCATACTGGCTGTACTTCATCTTTCCAGGGCTTTACCCTACATGCATGCCTGATGACCCATAGATGAAAAGTTCTGTGTATCAAAGTACCACGTGTATATATTATTGGTAAATATGGTCTGTACTTCTAAAGAGCAGAGAAGGTGAAATTGGCTCCATAGCTCAGTTTCCCCTACCCCAGGTTTGAAACAAAAAGTTTTCTCCGTGAATATTCTAGTGCTGCCAGTTGGCTTATTCTCTTCTTCATTTGCTGTCTCATTGAATAGTATTGACTGCTCTAACTCAAAAAATATATACTCTCCTGAATAAGAGGCATACTTGCACTACATCCTGATATTACATTATGTTGACTTGGCATCTGCTCATTTATGTTCAACCCCACTAGCACTGCAACCATAAAAATAAGATCTATAATCTGAATTTATTGGTTATTACCTTCAGGAGTGTGGTCTTCGTTGGATCCAATTTAGCATTGCATTCAACCTGCGTAGAAGAACAGCAGTGTCAGCATCATTCATGTTCATAATCATTCTAAACTACTGGATGAGAAGTATGAACACAACTGTTTGCCTTAATCATTACATAGCATCTTCTTGTCTGACAGTTTAATATACCCTAGAAGTTGTGCACCTTGGATTTTACTTCTTAAAGGCTCCTTTGTTTGTAGCTCAAACAAACAGTTTGATTCAAATTTCTCTCTGCTGGTCTATTCTTCCAGATGTATAAACAACCCCATTAACCAGAAAAAAAGAGGTTTTTGTGCTTCTTGCGCTACACTGGCAGTAAGTGCTGTTTATCATGTGATTTGTGGTCATCTGGTAGAATGCCAGAAAGTGAGCTGCCAAGCGGCCACATGCCAAAAGACTGGACAGACTCATTAAGATGCAATGTTTAAAGTCATCCAGCCATTTGAAGATAGTTATGAAGGGCAAAATGAAGTTTGCTGCTTCCAGTGACCCAAGGCAGAACTCCATTTAAACACAGCTAGAGTATAGGCTACAGATTCATTTCTAAAAGGTGCGCGTTTGTGTTCATGGCTTTCTCAGCTAGCTCATTCTGTGCCTGAACATTGCAATAGCCATTGTCCCAAAAAACAGTAGCCATTAACTGAATGTGGCCAAACAGGGCATGAACACAAGACAGGTCCAAGAACAGCAAGCCATTTACACTCAATTACTGCTGGACATTTCTCCAATGCTGATCTAAATTCCCAGCCTGTATGCTAATTAATCCAAAAAAAAAAAGTTGTTCATTAACTCTTTTACAATGCATACCACGGCATCAACTGCTGGGGAACTGTCACCAACCACCAGAAGAGAAGGGCATCTGCAAAGAAAAGTTACAAGAAAATGGTTATTTAGATGTCCTAAACACAACTTTAATCCACAAAAAACAAAACAAAACAAAACAACTTTTCTTGGTATAAACAGAAAGACTGAACCAGAAGTTAAGTGATCAGAAGCAAGAAATTACAGCTGCTATCCCAAAGAGGTCTCATATTATTTGAGATATCACCTACCTGTTCTTAAAACGACCAGAAATTGCTTTGAAACTTTAGGAAGGCTGCTATGCTATTGCATACCCTAATTTCATGTTATGGATTAAAAAAGATTAATGTGTGTCACTACAACAGCACTGTAATCTCCCACAACTTCATATCCATTTTTTTCTTTTGATTTCTTGCCCTTATTTTGCTTCTCTCCCCCTCTTGGCTCCCCCTTGAAGTTTGCTGTATTTCCCAGTCTAAAAAAAAACAAACCAACATTTATAGGGCATAACTTGCTGGAGACTCCATTGATCCTGTTCTGAATTCTTAGCTCTTTCACTTTTCTAGAGCCATCTTAACCATCTTCCTAAATAACTTAAGGTTTTAAATATTTTGAAAAACAATTAAGAGTTTGGTTACAGAATTTTGTTTGTATAAGCATTTGTAAAACAAAACCCCTAGTTTTTATTCTAATGGATGGGCGAGCCATTTTTTTCCCCTCTTTTATTGTACGTCTCCCCACAGTAGATGAAGCTTTGTGACACTCTACTTGTTGCACATTCATTATTTAAAAGTTCACTAAAATTGCAAAGTAATGGTTCTCCTGAAACAGAATGGAGATCTCCTCCACCACTATCTTCTAAGCAATTTAAAATACTTAAACTCAAGTTTGCAGATTCATCATAGGCAAGATTATAAGAATTATTTTCTTGACTACCTAATCCCTTTCAAAAGCCTCCCTATAAATAATGCTTCCCCTATGAAACAGCCATCACTTGCTATGGGAGAGGCCGCAAGAACAAAAAACAAGCAAAAATATTTATTGTTTCTAGTTGTATTTTTTTAAATGTACAATTTTTCTTTTTTTGTACAATTTAAATGGACCACTATGCTCCATGACATCATCAACCAAAGCTGAGAGGCAGGTCACAAACTTCCTAGAAGACTGTCAGTTGCAAGTAGTATTTCCAGAGCCTTTTGTACTCAAAAGCACCAGCAGGCATTTGAAATTAAGCAGAAAATCTACTGGAAGATTTTATTTCAATAGCTAACTTAGAATGCATATCCAACCTATCATACCATTTCTTTAAGACAGCCAATGGGCTTTTACTGTGACAGCATTTACATCATTCAGGATAGCTCAAATTGGGATAGATTCACATACACCAAGACATTGCCATCTGAAGTTGTAGTACTTACTGTAGAGTAACAACATTTACTCCAGGAACTGGGCGCTCAATCTCTAAATCTCTTCGACTATAGGTTAGGGCATTGGGTGGGGAGGAGGGAGAGAAGAGAAATAAATTGAAAAATAGTTAGATTCAGAGAGTCTCGTGTTTCTCCACACACTTGTCATGTATTAACTTATTTTCCTTAAAAATCGACAAAAGCTATATATACACACACAAAATAAAGAAATATGAATCTGCTTTTTAAATGAGCCAATCTAAAGAAGTTGTGTAAAAGAAAATATGCATTCCTATACACGCTCAGAGAGATCATTATAAGGCAGGAGGTCTTAGGATGATCTTCTGATGGAGCCATGATTCCTCATGTAATTTTGCTTGATAGCACTTGTACTGAACAAGCAATAAGCAACCGTCCAAGGGACTGGCAAATAAGTCACTGCACAGATCAAGAGAATAATATTTTTTACCTGTTGTAAGAGTTGACAAAGAGATGAAGATTGGTTGGATTCATGTCATTGATAACATGTTGGCGGTAAGTATGAATCAGGTCGGGGTTGTTGTGAATCTCCTCCTACATTGAAAAAGGTCTATTTTAGTAGTAAGATAATTACACATATATCAGAATTACACACGGCTCAAATCAACCAGGGAACATTGAAGGGGGGGGGGAAAAAAAAAGAGCATCTGGCACTTGAGTACTATTATCCAGAACTAACTTTTATAATTTCAGCCAACAAACCTAAGTATATGCAGTGCAGCATTCAGTTTCAGAAGAGCTTCTAAGCTTCAAGTACTTTCACATTATGGTTCCAGAGTTTCACTATAAAACCTTGATGAAATTAAAGTATTGCCATTAAGGCAGACAAGCATTTTAAAAATGTGGGCCTTTTATCAGTAAACTGTTTTCCAGATTTATGGAGTTTACTGTTATAGTACTAGGAATGCTGCTCTCCTGCATACTGGTTCTCATATCAGGAAGTAAAAAAACAAAACACAAAAACCAGCTCTCATACCATCACTTTAAAAAAAAGGAAAGAATTTTTTTACTGAAATGACTGAAATCCGCCTACAACTTGACAGCACTGTTATTTGAACAATGTGTATTTTAAAGAGCAATTAATACTGCTCCTATAGTTTTCTACATTAGTTTTGTCACTGTACTGTACTTATAGCCTTTATCAATGTGTATCCATCCTGTACTATGGCCTTTTCACAATAGTTTCACACAACTGCTTCTACAGGCAGCAGATCAAGCCTCAGTGACAAGGCAGTTGCAATATAAAATATCTAAGTTTAAAAAAAGTGTGAAGTATTCTGTGCATAAGGAAAAATTCAAACATAAGACATCATTAATGGTTTTGTGGTAAATTGAAGGAAGGTATGGCGGAACACAATTTATGAAAGATAACAAAGTAGTGCCAACTTACCTTTCCAAAAAGATGCGAAATGACCATATCTGGCAGGGCATTAGCCCATCCTGAAATCTAAATGAAATAAATGTTTTATTTATTTATTTTTACACTTAAAAAGAGTGCCTGAAAACTAGCAGTGGTTAGTCTACTCCCCTCTGCTTAGGTCAGGTATTGACCTAACTAATCTCCTGCCACTACCAGGTGTCACAAAAGCATAATACAAACCAAACTGGAAGAATATCCATAGGATACAACTCTTGACATCCTTGTAGCTTATGCAGTGTGAAAACTGGTTGCTAAGGTATGTATAGTGTCAATGTGCTTAACACTGACCTCCAACTAGTTAGAGAAAGAACACCCAAGCTTAAAATAATCATTCCTCCTAGATGTCTGGACAAAAGTGACAAGCATGTGGGAGTTTTCCCCATCTTTCACAGTTGTTTGTGAAAGAGGATCCAACAAACTGTCAAGATTGCAAGGCTGGTTTGCAAGACAGCTGCAGCTATGTGTCTGAGAACAAGTAGAAAACATTTAAGAAATGGTCACACAATCCAACAGTACAATTGGAGACTTGATAAATGTAATGACTCAGTAAAGTGGCAAGTAAAGGTGGGACAGGGCCACTAGGGAATTTAAGCAAACCAGGAATATTGGGAGAGGTGACCCACTTATTTCAGAGACCAGTTATCCCATGCCTTCTGGGAGTCACTCAGTGCCTCCCCAGCCAAACAATTTCCCAGGGTTTTAAAGGGTATGGAAGATCTCCTCTTTGTAGCTCTCAATACTATGGAAAGATGTATACAACAGCCCTCTTTACAACCAGAGCAGATTTCTTGATATTGAAAGGTAGACACTGCCTTTTCAAGTATCCTAAACATTTCTTTTCGCTTACACAACAGAATTTTTCTAACTATGAAGATTTGTCCATGAAGCCTTCTCCATGTGGTTAAGAAACACCCATGCATTTGACCATAAACATGTTTCAAACCTGCCTGAAAATGTGCTTCTTGTCCTAGCTCATTTAAGATATAGATACACATCTTAAATAGTGAGCTAGGACAAGAAGCACATTTTCATTTTTCAGGCAGGTTTGAAATGTGTTTATGATCAAAAAAATTTTGTTTATATATCTATCTATCTATATCTATTTAGATATAGATATAGATATAGAGATATAGATATATATAGTGTATAAAGATGGTGTATACGGCACACACACACACACACACACACACACACACACACACACACACCATATTAACCCTATTATTTACCTGTTGGAACTCTGAAAGGTTTTTGAAGCTTAAATTCCTTACCACTTATGTGCATCCTTTAATCTCTAGATTAGGATGTAGTAAAATATATAAAAATAAAGGATTTTTCCTGCACATGGACCTGCCACTTCTAGACGTGGCAACATGCTTGGCAATCCTATAGCACAGCAGACTTTTACTATTTTTGTTCACGCACATGCTGTTCCTACTGGATTGTGAAAACACATCTACTTTAGTAAACTTCATTTTTTTTTTTTTTTTTTTTTTCAAATCTAATTCTCATTGCAGACTGTTAGCAGACAAACCATGGGCAAGCAGGAATCAGATGTTATACTGATTTGAAAGTGTTGTTTAAAAAAAAGTTTCAAATCTAGCCCACATTTATGTTCAATTGGATTATTTCTTCCTGAGAGTTAATAAACCTGAAGAGAAATATATACAGTAGCACTGTTAACTATAGTATGACGACATTATTGGGTACATCGATTCTAATTTAAAAAACCAATGACACTACAGAAGGCACTTTTTTCTTTGTAAATGAAAAGAAAACCAAAAGCAATTAGTATCCATATTTCCAGTCTGAAGCCACATCTTAGGAACAACTAAATAAGTTCAATTAATTGATCATTAACACTTAACCTATTGTTCAGCTCCACATCTTAAGGTGAAATATAAAAATTCGACTTTCGTTCGTTTACCTTAGTTGCTGCCCAATCCATCCATCCTTCAGCACAAGGGTTTACGTTAATGAGAACAAGTCCTTCCACCATCTCTGGTTGGTTTAGCTGCAAGTTATGTGAACACAGACTTCCTCAGACACACTTTGTAAACCAACAGTAGACAGTTTAAAGAATTATTTGGGGGGGGGGGGCAGGAAGTAAATAAACAATCTTATTGGTACATGCAAAGCATTACTGATTAACATCATCTCCACCCTGGGTTTAAACAGGGAACTCCCATTAAAAAAAAAAACAAACACAACTTCCAGTTAACTGGGTTGAGCTCAGGACTCAAATGGACATTTTGATCCTGTTATTTCACTTAAAACCAGGACTGCTTGAATCAGTAATTATGGCAGGGTGGGAAGGATCTGCTTATTTCAGGAGGATTAGCTTTCAAGAAAAGTTCAATGAAAAAAACAAAACAAAACAACTTACAGCAAACCTAGTTAGGATGTAGGCACCAGCTCCAGATCCCATTCCAATAACACTGGTCAGCCTACACAGAGCAAATAAAGTATATTAGAAGTGCACTGAAGTAAATGCAAAAAAACAACATGAACAAAAAAGATTGTCCCTGTTCAGATCAACCTCACTACATGCCATTTTGCTTCTACTACAGGGCAGATTCATAGGTAGTATAATCTATTGTCTCTCCACTGGCGTCAGGAGGGCTGCAACAATTTACACAAGCTGCAGACCAGCCCCAGAGAAGCTCAGTATGCCGTCTGGGTCTCGGCTGAAGTTAGATGCATCGGATATTTGTCCATTTGCATTCCAGGGTAGGGCTAGTAACTTTAATGTCTTTAGATAAATATACTGATGAAGAATAGTATTGTTCTGATTCTGGAAGTGAAACAGCTACTTTAAGTGCCAGGGAAAACTGAGGACTCAGAGCCATGATACTTCTGCAGGCTAAATAAAAAGAGACCTCATTTTGTGGCTACTAAACCACATCTCCCCAATTTCGCTCCAGGGGTGAACTGACATGAAATAAATACATATACTGTATGGGCTACTCAATCACAAGAGCAAGCCAAAAATTGAAGTGATCTGTACAAGTAACGTGCACTGAATGCATCTATATTAATTTGGTGAAAAAAGACAAGGATGTATTACAGTGGGGTCATTAAATAACAGAAAAGAGGAAGTTGAGGCAAGACAAACCCATGTCAAAAACAAAATGGTACTTTAACCTAAATAAAGAAAACTTAGTGGCGCACTTATTCAAATCATTAAGAAACTGGGGGGCTGGAGGTGGAACTCAGTCCCCCCCATTAAAATGTTTTCAAAATTTGTTTGACAATCTTATGCATCATGCTTTCACACAAGAAAGATGCTGAGAATTAAATAAAATAAATAAATGTAACCAGACAAAAAGATCTATTCAAATCCTTGCACTAGCTAGTTTATATTCTGAACCATTTAAATGCAATTAGAGGAACAAATAGTCTTGTTATCACACCTGAGAGTTTGCACATGAACTGCTTTTTAAAAATTTTTTCTTAAGTACAACTTCTCAAAACAAGGACAGAGCCATTAAAATTAAGCTGCTTGGAGCGGGGAGACTAGTACAATGCAGAGCCTACAAGGGGAGAAGTGTTGAAGCAACAGTGATTCCTTCAAACTAAAAACTGATAATTCAGAGGTACTTCATACGTTTAAAAGTATGATTAAGTGCGCACAATTTCAGGAGGGTATTTAGTGCATTATAGGCTAAATTAATTTTTAAGGCCATACATAAATCAGAATCGAAACAGACCGAATTGTTAGTACATGATTCTCTACTCACCCAAACTGTTTCAGGATCCCTGGGAGCATTTCAGCCAGCTGATCCATGGAGGGATACATGTATCTATAGGAAATATTTATTTGTAAAGTTTAGTAACCATTTTCCAGGCCAGTAGGCTCCCTTGGATTGAAGTAGATTGGGTCAGTTACAATTGTGGCCAGACATTTAAATAGTACATTCAACATTTCATACTTGTGGCTCACTGTAGCCAAAGATGCAATACATTTTTTAAAGACATCAGCAATTGAGCCTCTTGTACACCAGTACAATAAGTTACCTTGATTTTATAGATGGGTAAAGTGTCCACAGAAAGACTAATTAGGGATGACAAGAAAACTTTTCAATTAAAAAAAGTTAAAGCTTTTGTTGTCAAGAAGAATGAAAAATATAGCAGTGTAAATTTGTTTTGGGAGGCGGGGGCAGGGAGGTGAGAGGGGGGAGCAGGATGAAAGTCATGCCAGACTAGCAGACAGCTCAGTGCTTCGGGTACTTCCAACAGGCAACATGGGGTGTCCCATACCCCCAGGCACAGGACCAATCTGGATCCCATCTCTCGCATCCTCGAAAATTTGACCAACTTTAAGGGTGGACCACCTGCCTAGAGTCAACTCTGTGGCAGAAAAGGAAAGTGAACCCAGAACCCTCCTCTTAGATGCTACTGCTCTGCATTCACTTGCAGGAATGGACTTCACCAAAAGTCACATTTTTGTGCATGTGTGTGTCAGGGTATCTCCCATCATCTCTGAAAACAAAGAAAACCCCTGCTACCCCGAGGGAAAGTTGTGATGTGCAGTGTCAGGACTTTTGCAAAACGGGCAAGCTACGGGAGATGCACCTGGCTTACTACCTTCCTTGGAACCAGAAATTCCCTGTCAACACTGGAACTTGATGGGCTGCTAGATCAATACTTAAAAAAAAGTGTTAAAAAAGTTCTGAACAAAGGTGTCTATACCTGGGCATTGCAAACTTATAAGCCTAGCTCTGAAGTGCTGAAAAAAACCCCACAACATATTTTTTCCAACACGGCAAAATGACAAGTATGCACAAGAGCCAAGATGCCAATCAAGTATTTAACCCTAGGAGCCCTGCTAGAGATTGAAGCAATGTTCCTGATGCCATCTCCTTGAATGGCCAAGGATAGGCCTTTCACCCATCCATGATTCACATTATAACCGTTTCCTGAATAATGAAGAAAAAAAAAAAAAGCAACCCCATTGTATAATGCAGACCTGCTACTCTGGTTTAGGTCAACAGTGAAACCTTGCTGCATTGTTTAAGGACGTACTGAAGACTCTTCTATACTAACTAAAGTCTGCGTATAGATTAGTTTGTTCCGTCACATACTATACTGGCAAACGTGCTTATTTCGCTGTCTAATCTAGCATACGATATGCTGGCAAACCATTTTTAATTAGATTACACCTGCAGAAGATAAACTTCAGATATTGTTAAGAAAACAGCCTGTACTAGATCAGCTGTAACTCCATAGTACAACTCGAAGCAGAGTTATTTCTGCACACAAGCTGCAAGAATCTGGTACACACTCTACAACGACCTCTCTGCCACACCGGTGAAAGGAATCTATTTGATTTTCTCAACAGGTGCGCAAGTCAATTCTTTACTTCATCCCTGGTTGCTATAGCAGAACCGCTACTCGTTCTCCCTTGGCAGCTCCTTTCATCATGCATAAAATTCAGTATGATGAATCTTAAATCTTAATATTAATTTATGGCACCCTTGTTTTATTTGACAAAGATGTCAAACATTTTGGCCAACGCAGTCCTTCTCAGATGTTGGCAGGTTCTACTAGTATGCGACTTTATCCAAGAACAGACCAAAACTTCAAAGAGGATTAACAAGTATATGCTTAGAAGTCACCAAAAGCCTAACCTGGTCATCCTACTAAAACTCCATTTGTCTCAAGTATCCTGCAGTTCAGATTTTCTAGTTAATACTAGCCTTTCAGTTCTGTTCACTAGCATTTTTCCATCTTAGCGCTCTCTCTCTCTCTCTCTCTCTCTCTCTAAAGGACTGACTGTAATGGGGTAATTCTACATTTTAATAGCACTATTTTATTCTACCAATTTCTTTTTCTGCTTCTGCTGAGAACAAAAAAATAGCTATGAGGGAACAGGAATAAAAAGCTGCTAAAAAGTTCCTTACACATTGATTTAGCTGGCTCATTTTAAACTGACAGCTGTACACATTGCCTAAAAATTACTTTAAGAGCAGAGGGTTGTTTGCTATGTTAAAGAAACACTAAGTTACTTACGTGTAAATTTAAGAAATTCCAATCTGACCTTGGCTCATCCACAAAATAGTGCACAACTTCAGTGACTTGCATGGAGGTTACCAGAGCTAAAATTAACAAAGACTAAGGAATTCACTTCCTGCCATTTAACAGGCTAAGCCTGAAAGCAAAGTCAGACTCAACTCACCCAGCTGGGAAAGGTGCTGCTCCATCCTGCTGCCCAGGTGCATCCACATGGCAGACAGCAAAGTGGTGTGTGATCTCCTGCATGTCCTCGAAGTTGAAGAGGGGACCGAAGCAAGTTTTGTCTTCAGGGGAAAAAGGAGCATAGTTAGAAGATGGAAAAAAGAACATCTTGTTTTAAGTCAGAAGTCTTAACAAAATGTAGTTTGAGGTTTCTCAAAAAGTCACCTCTGCAGGGGTTTAGGGTTTCACTAATCTACAGTTTAGTTCACCCAGTTCAAGTTATGTTCTCAAAGTAATAAACACATTTATTTTTCAAGTGATCAACAAAATCCTGCTCCAAAAGTAGCTACTGTCAACTTGTTTTATTTCTTGAAGCAGAAAAAGGAAGTTTACCAGGAAACCATTACTCATTAGTTACTTTGGCGGTTGCACTCAGAAATGTTTATGGCTCACAAATCCCAGGGAACATATTCTCTACCCTTTTAGTTTTTTGGTTTGTTTTTTTTAAATTGGGACCAAATGTTTATCCGAGCGTGCTTTTCTTTTTTAAGCATCCATTAATTTCCCTTCATTTTTCACAGGGTTATACCAACACACAAGAAAGCAAGCAATTCAAGAAAAGGAGTCATTGCTCTTATTCCCAGCTATTACAAGATGTGTGCTAATCTGAAGCACCTGGCAAAAAGCTACAACATTGACAGGACCATAACTTAGTATCCTTGGGGCACGTTTACACATGCACCTGACTGAATAGTGGTTACTGCGCAGTCATTTAGTATTTTCTTTAGTGTCTTGTGTAGCGTTGTGTAGACATACCCATGCCGTACTTAACAGACTTCTAAACTGGACCATATTATTAAAATAAAGATATTCTATATTGTACGGAGTGATGGAAAGGGCAAAACACAGTAGATTTTGGTACTACAGCTTATCTATGAAACCCAGTAAAGTCACCTAGCTCTCAAGAAATAAAAAAGTTCCCCAACCAGACTACTGCCGACATGGTATCATCCTCCACACGTTGTTCAAGGGAAATGGAGAGAACTCGAGGTACCGATCAACAGCACTAGACAAAAAAATTTAAAGGATCCTGCCAGCTTCCTGCATATTAAGCTCCTTTCATCATTATTAGACATACATTTTCAAGGCCTCTCCAAATACACTGTCAGATGGTTTTTACGGTATCATTTGATGGTTACTTAAATTGGGATTACTTTGGACCCAAGAATCTTTCAACTTTGGTTAATTTATTTACAGACATGGTATTTAGATTTAGAGAAAAATCCACAGAGCAAGATGTAAACCAGATTATGGGCAAAAGGGGAGGCAGGGTGGCACTTTAGAGACTAGCTGGTTTAGAGAGGCAAGAGCTTTTGTAGGCAACAAGCTTCTGTGTTGGGATGTTATGAAAGGAGAGACAGAGAGAAAAACCTTTATGCAGAACGGTAAGGGATGGGGTGGCACTGCTAAGAAAATATAGTATACTTTATTATGTAGTCATACATCCATACTCCAAGTGTTGGAGTAGTACCACCCATGCTTGTTATTAGTCCTAATGCCTTTTGCCATCGGCAAAAATTCATAGAGAGATTCCTACCAACCCTCCTTACACCCTACCCTCCTCCTGACTGACAGCCAGGCCACATGTATTCTAAATAAACCTGGGCTCCTTTGCATCAGTGGCTTTGGCCTTCAGTGCATCCTGAAGGAATCAGCATCATCTCAACCCCTTTAAAACAGGTTGGACAATGTAACTTGATACAGTATAAATTAGCAAACTAAAACGGCAATAAGTGACCAGCTACTCTAGCAGGCCATTACTAAGCGGCTGCATACAAGTTCCACTTACGGTTCAGTCCGATATCATGGTATGTCAGGATGACGGGCCTGTTTCCTTTGGGAACCCCACACATTGTGACATGAACAGAGCCATGCACAGTTTCAACATCTTGCTCCTGGAATGAAAGAGATGCAATACTTTGTTTAAATGCTCAGCACAGCAGCCACAACATGGATATATTTATGGTAGATGAAAAAGATCAACACAATTTAAATATTGCATTTTCTTTCTCTTTGAAGAAAGAGCTCCATCAGGACAATTCAAATGGTGCAGTGACAGGATACAGACATGTTAATCTCTGCTTTCACGTTACGGAACGGGCACAGGGAGCCCTGAAAAGGCATTTACAAGAGATTTTTAAAATCTTAAAAAAAAAAAAAGAAATGTGTGGTTTACACTTTTATAGGCTCAGCTCACCATACCCCACACTAGCTCCCTCAAAAAAATTGTCTCCCCTGCCACCCTGCTCCCCCATCTGCCTTTTGTTTCAAAGTCTCATTACAACCTCTCCCATGTCCCAATGTCTGAGCAACTCCATTGCCAGAGTGTCCCATTCTCCCCCATGACAATGCCCTCTGTGCACCTATGTCACCCTCAGATAAGAGTCACATTTGCCTTCTCCATAAGGTTGTGTGTGCACTTCCTTCTCCCCCATGACCTTGTCATTCTGTCTTTGTTTTGGTGGACCTTCATTTTTAGGACAGAGGATCAGCAAACCAAAAAAAAAAAGGGGGAGTTTTGTTATAGTACAGTGTGCAAGTGCCTGAGCACACACCAACTGCTGAAACTTCCTTAGCCTGACGAAGGGTTTTTGAACCCGAAAGCTTGCTTAATAACTATTCTCCAACTATTTGGGTTGGTCTAATAAAAGATATCAGATTCACCCAAGGAACCTTGTCTGCCTATGCTATCTACTACTACATTTGATCACTGAAGAGTTCAGAATTGTGTCTTAAAGTCACCACATTGTGAGGCTTGCAGTTACTGCAATCTTCTCCCTTCTAGACAAACTGGTTATTGTAGAGAGAAAGCATGTTTTACAACCAGATTCACATGCCTATGGTCCATACCAGATAAAGCCATTTGCTTAAGGGTATTAGAGGACACACCAACAGTCAAACTCTTAACCTCATTATGTAAAGAAACCAAATAAGCCAATATTGAACAAAAGCTAGCCATCCCTTTGGCATGAACTGGAAGTCATGCCATACTTATTTCAAGTTCAGAACGCCTGCTATAGCAATGGAAGTTCATTGAGAGCCTTCGTTTCTTGCTGTTCACAGATGTAGTTCAATGACATCTAATTTACAGCTAATCTTGTAATAAAAATTAAAAGGCACTCTTTTTTTCTAAAAACAACAAAAACTTAAAACTAACCAACCAACCAGCCCGTCCACCCACCCCAATTCGTTTTTGGCACCTGCACCTTAGGAGACAGGCAGCATCAAGTTGTCAACTAGACCCCACTGTGATTCAAGTACCAAAAGAAAAGGAATGATTATAGGGGGAAAAAAACTATTAAAGTGTAAGAGATAGTCAAAGCTATAAAAAGTTAAGAGGTCTTAGAGAGACTTAATGCCTAGATATTCAATATCCCATACTGCATGAAATGCAGCCTCTAGCATCATATAGTACAGTTGTAAACTACCCCCTGCCAGATATGCATGACTTGATTCATACCGCTTTACTTTGAGGCTAACTTTTAATACCATTTTGAATCTATCAAATTACTTGTAAGATTATATAGCCCAACCCAGAATCATACCACCCATAAAACATTAAAAAAAACAAACAACAAAAAACCTGAAAACCCCACTCTAACATTTGGAGGAGGGGAGGTTGACTAAAAAAAAAAAACCACCAAGATTTTTTTAGACAACTATTTCTGAAAGCTTAAAATAAAAAGCAACAAACTTCTCCTTCCTTCTATTAGTCACCATATTTATGCAAAATTTCAGTTGACTACACTAAATAATCAAGATCCATAAGCACCAAAGAAATCTGAATGAAAACAAGTACATAGGCTATTTACCAGTGACATTTAAGCAGTATCTTAAAAGTTTCTCTAAACACTTACTGCATCATTTAGCAGGTAAGCAGTATCTTCCATATCCAACACCATTTTCAGACAAATCAGTGTGGCCAATTCAACCGACAAGCAGAAACAAGCAGAAGGTTTCACTCTGCCTTAGTGGATAGCTGGTGTATGCAGACAAGCTATTATTCTACATAAGCCTGACTCCCATAATTCCCCCATTTGAACAACTAGCACTCAGGCCGACGTCATTCTTAAATAGGATTTGAGTTGGGGTTAGCCAGGAGAAATGCCTCTTCAGCACAACTTGGACAAAAGAGAAATGCAACTCTACCACGCGCAATGCAGATCACCTGTTCTACCCAAAACTTTTGTACAGTTTTCAAATCACAGAGTTAGTTGTGTGTGCAGTTTGTCAACTCCTGTTAACATTTCACATATACTACTAAAAGCAGAACCCCAAATCAAACTGTTGTATATTTAAGAGAATTAACATCTTGAAATTTGACTATCTCCTGGAGAAAAACTAAGCATTTTCATGACAAGATACAGGCACATTAGGTTTTAAATAAAAATCTCAATTTACACAATAGTTTTAAAAACAGCACCCTTATTCTGTATATGGGAAGAATCAAAAGAGCCGTTCTGAACACATTAATGACATGTACAGTCTCCCAAATCTATCATGCCACAATTCACTAGAAGGTGAATTAAACGTATTAGTTACACTCACTCCACAATATACAAACATTTATTACAGCTCAAAATGACTAATATTTTGTTTATGGCTTATTTTTTAGACTTGGAAAACAACCTGCTTTCTAATCAAGACACCTGGCTGCAACTAGATTGAGCACTTATTAAAACCAACAGAAGAATATTATTTTGCATAACCCTCCCACCACCCTAGATAAGCTTGCATACCCTATATTTCCTATTTAGCAGCAGAGAGATTAACACGCTTCTCCTACTAATGTACTGCAATGCTGTGGTGCACACTAACTGTTTTCAGCGTATACTGAAGAAACTAGAGCATGTTTTAGAGTTTGCATTTACAACTGATGCATTTTCCTTTCCTATATTGGATACAAAACCCTTTTTAGATCAGACAAAGCCACTGATATGTAACCAACATCCTGCTTGCCTCCTACACTCTATTTTTAAGTAGTTTAAGATGGGCAAGAGTTCAGCTAGTTAATCTCAATTTAAGCTCAACTGTCCCTAAGCTATTTGTAAGTTGTGCTCCTCATAGGACAACAACTCTAACACCCGATGCAAATAAAACTGCCCTTCTACTAGTTAAAGTAATTTTTCATTCATCTCTACTAAGAGATGATGCTGTGGATTTTTAACTGGATTAGGCCATTTTCCACAAGCATAAATATTTAGTCATGAATGTCAGACTCCCATATACATGGCCAAATGAAAACAGTTTCTTTAATGATATCAGTCCAACAGCTTTGCATCATCTCCACTGATCTTATTATACAACAGGGATGCATCTACATGATGGGGAGGAGCAATTCTCTAAAATGCAGGGCAGCAAAAACAGATGGCAGCACATCCTAATCAACATCCATGTGATAGTAAGAGGCTCTTTACCAACCGATTTGTATTAAAACACTATCTTGGAATGAAATCCAAGGTACACTAATCCGAGAGAAGGACAAAGACAAACATGCCATCTGTTCATGCGTCTCTAGCATCAAGAGAGGCGCATCTTTGCTCAGCACCTTATAAACACACACAGGTCATGCAAGAGCTGCAATTTTGGAGATCTCCATTTGAAAAAACAAAATGAACAAAAAACCCATTCTGGTTTAGCTTTGGGCTTTTTGGTTACACGATTCTTTTCTAGTCATACGATTAGAAAAGTAAAGCAACCTGCATGTGGTTTGCATACAGGAAAGCCAGCCCATTTGTTTCCCATCTTCTCCAAGATATTTGAGAAGAGGTGGACTGAAGATAATGTGGACATGTCTCTGTTGATTGTGTGGGTGTGCGGGTGGGGTTTTTGTTTGTCTGTTTTTTAATTTGTTGGATACACACCATGTATAAAGAAACAGCAGGCATTCTGCTTTAAAAGTGCAATATTTGGTGTTCTAACAAAACACTCCGCTACATCAAGAGCATTTTAATACCTTCTCGGAAATAAGATTATCCTTAATCCCCTATTCCTCTTAGTACACTTGTTTTGATTTGTTTAAAATGAAGAACCCACTGGACACATCACTCCTATCCCAAGATATTACGAGAAAAAGGCTTAGCAACTTAAAAAAAAAAGGAGACAGAGAGAGAGAGACACACACACACACGTTAATAATGTTAGCAGAATCCCTCTTTAGGCTTCTTTTAAATCTGTATGACGCATTATTCCTTAGTTTACTGAAAGAGAAAACTTAAAATCCAATTTACTAACTGCTGTTTAGACCCTTGGGGCACTTTTACACGTGCTCCAGGGTGGAGAAGAGCCATGCTCCAAGAGCTGCTTCAATTAAAGCACTGCAGTGTCTTGTGCATCACCGCTCCTGCACTTCAAAGTAGTGATGGGGGGACTTGAACTTAAAGCACTCCTGCTGCCACTGTTAGGTGCAGGGACACGGACACTCCATGAGGCTGAAGGAGTGCTGCAATTGCCACGCTCCAAAGGACTCAATTAATTAAGTCTGCTCTGACACACTGTAATTACAGTATATTGGAGCAGCCTCCATGCTTGTGTACAGGCACCCTTGGTTCTCACTTTGCTCCTCTCCTCCTCTGCACTGAAAACAATATTTAAAGCATTTTCAATTCCAACTTTGCATTTTAATATTTGTGTCTCAAATACTTTAGGGAACATTGATCTAAAAACTATAGTTCCAGTGTGGAAAAAAAAGGTCCAGTTCCAAACTCATCTTGGTTTGTATGAAAAACTGAACTTGATCAAGCTTTATCTCGGAGTCCCAAATTTAGGTTGACCAGTATTCAGGTAAAGTAATCGAAGTTAACCTTAATTCAGGTGCATGAAACTGGAAGCTTAAGTAGTAGTGGGCTTTCAGCAGTTCTGAACAGCATCTCTTCAAAAATGATTAGGTTGACTCAGCACTTCCAAGAGTCAAGTCACATGTACTTAGTAGATGGATATATTCCACAGTACACACATTTTGGTGGCCTATTTCAGGCACTCTAGTTTTACAACTGTAGCCGGTGCCTTTTCCTATCTTGACTAGTAAACAGGTTCCAGTACTTTGCCAGGGTAAGTGAAATGGCAACATTCCCATACCTCTTTCTTCCAAAAAAAAGCATGCACCAAAACCTAGGAAGTCAATAGAACAACAACAATTTAAGCCAGCTGGGGACTCGCCCTTACACAAAGGGGAGCTGCTTCAGGTCAAGTTGTGAAGCAGCTCTATTTCTGACAGACAGGAAGCCAGGGAATCTGAAGTGACGATTATTTTAACAATGAATACAACTGGCTGGCAGACAGCTGAGATGATAGCAGCTCATCTCTGCCACCTACTGCTTGTGTGCAGCAAGAAGCAGTTCTGTCTGATTATTCAGGAAATCAAAGTCTGGGGCTCCTACAGATGAGCAGGGAACGCTCCGGCAGCCTTCTGCATCACATGCATCGGCGTCCCTACGCAGAAAGAGTAGCAGTGGCATGCTTTGAAATAAAAACAGATACATGAACTTTAGCTTAAAAGTACCCCACCACCATTTTTTCAGTTTGGGGATGCTGGTACATGTGACGTGGGTGCTTTTAATTAGCGTGGCTCACTAATTAAAGTGCCCAGCGCCACATCCAAGAACACATGTCAAAGTGCCCCTGGTGACTGATATTGGGGATTTTTTTGGAAGTGTTATTACAGTTAGAAAAAAGTAAGCCAGCACCTTTTAATGGTGCCTGTCTAGCAGCAATTGTGGTCACAAACTTTTACCTGCTTAGGAAGTCTGTCAAATATATGTAAGCCAATAGAGGGCTTATATAGGTAATGTTCTGTTCTACACCGAATTTAAGATAATTGACTGTAAACAGTTAGAGGCTTATGTCTGGAATATCCCACTGCTCATGACACACCTGGCAATCTGACCAATAATCCAGGTTTTGTGGGTAATTGCCACTTAAACCAACTAATACTACACACAGGAAAAATGGAGGAACATTAGACTGAAACTCATTCCCAGGTAACCGAGTCCATTCACAGGCAGCCACTTCTCTACAAAGTTCACAAAAACCATCCATTCTAGCCTCTTTCACATACTACAGCCACAAGCATTTTACAGAGATGAAAAAAAATCAGCCCTACAATAAAAAAAAAAAGTGTGCCACAGATAAAGGGCAAATGGAGACAAGGACAGCATCACCACTGCATTTGCAAAGAATATTAGATCAATTAATGCTTAGACAATCCCAGCAGAAGGATCACAGCCCGAGGCTGCATAGGAAGGCACAAAAAGCATGGTCCTGTTGAGCTGAACTGGAGGGAAGATATAATTTGGTACTCCAAGGATGTTTAAGATTTCTAAAGTATCCCTAGAAACAACTCAACTCCCATCTACAGCCGTAGCCAATATTGTACACTTCACAAAGTAGAAAAAATATATCAAAAAGTCTTCCTGATGTCCACAGGTAATCAGCAAAAGTCCCCGAGGCATGGAGATGGGAGTTCCCTCTCATCCCATCAAGGGATACTAAACCCTCCAATGTACATACCGAATGCACCACTCATTGCTCCAAGAACATCCTTGTCCTGTTATCCCTTCCATTAACTTGTCAAGGTCCATCTTGAATCCTACTCGCAACACTTTAAAATATTTAATAAGCAGATACAAATACCCTCTCAAAAGCAACTTATGAAATGTTTATTTGTTAGCATCTCCATTTTCAGAGCCTGACCTCAGTAAGGTGAAACAACATTTTCCAAATTGCTACCTAAACTAGAAGGTTCATCTTGGACCTGCCTTTTACCTAAATCCATGTTTAGGTACGAAATAAATGACTACATCTCTAGAAATGCTGAGCACTTAAAATGTTAAAATCTAAGTTGGAGACACTCGGCATTGCTTGAAAAAACAAGGTACTTATTTACAGGCATATGTAATGACTCCCCCTCAGCTGACACGGAGCTGAACTAGGGATCTTGGAGCTAAAACAAACAAACAAAAAAAAAGCTTTGAGCTTCCTGACATCCAGAGTTGAGGCTCTACGTAACAGTTTTATCAATTGATATCTTCAGAGGAGTACCTGTAATAAAGTAAAACTAAAAAATAGAACTACATAAGATGAGAGAGACATTGTAAGAATGAGCCAGAAGAAAAGCAAGCTCGCTCTCAGGAGTCAGCATGAAGTTATCACAGGATAAATGACAAAATCCACAGGTCTTGCTTAGTAGTGGATTAAACAATCAGAATAAATACCCCTCCCCCCAAGCAAAAAACCCTCCATCCCCCCATATCTTTTTCTCCTTCATTTTGATCTTGGAAGGCAGAGATCTAGCTTTTAATTATAACCAAACCCCACAATATTTAAAGTATTATTTCAAGAATAGAGATAGAAGACAAAAATGTCATTTTAATTCTTTTTACTAAAAAATGTTGCAGTACTGTACTCTACTTAGCAAGCTTTATCTGGAATTCAGACTGATCGCCTGTTCTAAATTAAATATGAACCTAACCAAAAAACCCAACTGTCCCACAACTTGTCCCATGTGGCCATGTGCTGTCACATTTATTCTAATAAATTGCCGCCCAAAAAATTAAATCTATCTTTAAACAATTCTTCAGCAAAGTAGATTTATCCCATTTAAGGGACTGAGTATCAAAATCCACAAGAAAGAAAAAGGTGGATTTGAGGCATTATGAAATTAAATCTTTTTCTGGAGTAAATAAAGTGGTAATGGAAGGAAATTCTTTGGACAGTTTTGCCCCTTAAGTTTCATGAAACATAAGAATACAGTACTGAAAATAGGAAATAACTAGGTTGCACATCATTGCACTAAGCATATATAAAAATTAGATAAAATGCAACAACCCAAATGTTTTTTTCAATAATTTTTCCCAGCCAAAAGTTGGGTACAGTGTATTGAATGATTTCAGTATTGGAGAACTGCCACTCCATGCCCCCCAGTGGCTGGGTAAAAACAAAACTGTGTTCTCATACGTACTCTTCCCAGAACAGAAATGGAGTTCGGACTTATCAGGACTTGTATGAGCTCTGGTAAGTGTGGATATATAGAAAAGAGGTAGTCTTTTCTATCCACAACTTGGATGGAAAAATGTTTCTGTATTATATTAATGTCGCCTCAAAACAATGGTGAGTAAATAAACTTTCCATGTAGCCTGCACTTACGTCTTTGCAGGAATAAAACACTGCTCCTTATATTTGTTTAGATTAGTCCAATCAACTGTATCTTTGCATAACAATACTACTGAAGAAAGATTATAAATCAAGGCAGAAAGGCAAGAAACTCTGAAAATGTAAGTTCATGAACACTCACAAACCTTTAAGTGGAAAAGGGAAGCCACTTTTTTAATTGGCTGTGAATTTAATCTATGGCCTCGTTGCGAGTAAATAACTGAAGACACTAAACTTCCAGTCAACTCCTGTATGCTTTACTGTTTTCCATAACTTGGTGCTGACCACCTCTCCACATGCCTCAAGATTACCTTGGAAACTTGTTTTCCATTAGGGAAAACATTGGACTATCTATATCCCAGAAGGAAGTGCACATATTTTAACATACTGCAAAAAAATTCACCTTCACTGAGGTTGCCAAAGAGTCACATTTGGCAAAAGTAACTGTTTGCTATGCTCTTTGAAGATAAGACATTTCTCAGCAATCTGTAAGGATTTCCTGCCATCATCCTCACATTGTTATAAGGGAGTTCTAGCCATGTTCAGTGTTGTATTTTGCAGTTACATTGGGTAAGATTCAATACATTTTTGATCACATGTTGCTGAATGTTTTGAATACTTGTTCTCACCTCTGCTTTACCAAATAGGGAAGTGAAAAAGGGTTTTTACTTGCCTGAGCATCAAACTCTGGAAGGAGGCGAATGATTGCCTGTGAAAAGATTTCAGACATATTAGTGCAAGTGTCTGCAAAGCAGTTTCAAAGTGAGCCTGAAAACATGTACACTTCATGTGAAAGCTACTGAGAATGACAGATTTATTTCTTAATTTATACAGCTCCCAATGTAGCAAGATCACATCAAGATGTCAGTGAAGTTTCTCTAACAAAGTGCAAGATTTGGATTCAAATATTTTAGACACCAAAAACCTCACAAGAGATGAGTGACTTATAAATGCTAGCTTCACTTATAGACCAATTCATCTCATCAGAGAAGCTAGTATATTCGAGTAAAAATCTGAGTTGTCCATTAACTTCACAACTCCAAGCAGAACCCAGAACTTCTAATTCACGTTCCTTTAAAAGTGCATGCCATCTAATGGTTAGCATAAGTGCTTTTCTAGACTAAACAAATACAACATTAGAACATGACACTAAGCACCAATAGCTCAATCATGCAGCAGAGACCTATTTCTACTTAAAATCAATTGGATTAATTGCATCTGCCAGGTAGGCAGGATTTCACCTTCAGCACAGAAGTGGACTTGACTTCATTCCTGTTGTTCAGCTCATGTTTTGCTTTCACCATTGCAGACAAGCTGCTAGCCTGTCCAGTGCATGCAGAAGTAGGCATATAAACACAGGTCCCCAACCCAAGTGGCTTTAAAACCTCAGCATACATTTGGCTGCTACTTAAAATATTGCTAAAAATATCAATATCAATTAAAATCAAGACTAATTGCATACATTGACTGTATGTGTGAGAAAACTTGAGCAGGTGGTAGAAGTTTCAATTGGGTAACTTAACATAAGACAGGCAAAAGCAACACGATTTCATTGGTTGCAACATAGACCAGGGAAGGATAAAACAGGACAAGTGACACCCTGGTAAGAAAGTTACGTTATTAGAGTGGTATGACTAACACTATGTTTAACCAATAACTGTCATGGGTCCACCAGCTGACAAAAAATGAGGCCTTAATGACTTGAGGTCCGAGTCCAGATGTTAAGAGCCATGACATTAGGATCTGGAAAGTGTCTTGTATACGCAACCAGCTGATCCAGATATCAGATTGAAGTGTTTGGGAGTTAAAGTTTACACTGTTACCACCCAAGATGGATATTTTAATTTATTTTTTTTTACAGTGCTGACCCCTGATGGTGAAGTCAACTGTCATGCAGTTAGGGTGCAGCAAGACTGGCTATTCACCAAGTTAGTGTAAGTTTACAGACAAGCTTATTGGTACAGGCCTACCAAGTTCTAGAGTGCGTGATTTTCATGGAGACCGCAAAATTTGAGTGGGCTCCATAAAACACAGCAGGCTCGCTGCAAAAACAAAAAAGACAAAAAAAAATTTACTAAAAATAAAATGCTGGCTCCCCAGAGGGATCCAGCAGTCTTCATGATGCCGCAGTCACTTACTCAGAGGCATGGGGGACCCACTGTGCTCAGTGTGTGAAAAGGTGGCAGTGCCTGCAAAAAAAATCAGCCAGCCGCCTCCTTGAGTTAGATAGACCCCTACTTATTGGGCATCTCAAGTAAGAGCGCACATCTTTTGTTGCTCAATGCAACTGATTTGTCTTCTGCACATGATAGAAACCCCACACAATTTCTTCAGTGTCTCATTAAGATGCCAACATTTTCCAATAAAACATTCTTAATAACTGAAAGGCTTCTTAGTAAGAGAGCGGAGGAACAGCATTAGCAAGTGATACTTGCATGATAACAGGATCTTTGCTTCTGGAACTCTAAACGGTGTTCCTGCTAGTTTTCAAACAGCGTTTTCATGCTAATACTGAGTAAAGGGCATTACAGAAATAATTTAACACAACTAAAATGAAATTGTTTGCACATTAAAGGCTCTTCCAAGTTTTTGATGCAAGTAATTTAGTTTAACAGGGGTGGGAAATGGAGAGAAGATTACAAATACAAGAATTAATAGTTCCAGCTAAGATTGACTGTTGTCAGTAATTATGGTCATACCTGAAAAAGATTAACAGAAATAACACCAGATTTTGGTATCGGGGCAAATGTGGCCAGTCCATGAAGGATTCGGCTATTTCCTGCGATGCAGTCTATTTCGATCAGAAATCAGACTGTTGCATAGGGGTCCATGATTAGTAGGCCTTCTTGCCCAGAGTGCTGTGGCTTCATGGATCATTTAGGTGAGCTGCAATTTGAGTGCCAGTTCATTCGGTCCTAGCAGCATATATCCAAGTATGGGCTTGCCACCCACTAAACTACCTAGGATCCCTGGCGGGTGTTGGAGTTCCAGCTGAAGCCAGGCTAAAATAACAACCCTTCTGTGCTACTCAAGCTAATGAGTTAGAAAGCTAGTTAGGTTTCTCTGCAAAAACTCTTATGACACCGTTGGAGGAAACTATAGACATGGCTCAAAGTACGAATTAAGAACCTTTTTGAACACTGTTTATGCACTGCTTTTAAGGCACTTTCATCCACACTGCTTATTTTTGAAATGCATGTAAATAGCCTTGTGTAACTATGTCCACACTAATGAACTGTACCAGCATAACTGTAGTAATTTCTAAACAGACAGTTACAGAGATACAAGGTTGTATGGGCAATTCTTAAGGAAACCAAAACATGACACAGCAAGAAAGTTATCATGGGACTTCATGCCTTTTCTTCTTGAAAGCCTTGAGAGAATTTTAACAATTCTTAAAATATGAATAAAAATACAGTTCCAACTCTAGTCCTAGATTATGAAACTGAATGTTACAATTACCTCCTCTTTCTCTACCAGAGGCTTCACCTCTGTGAGGTCTGCGTCCTGCAGTTCCACAGACATGGTCAGTAACCGGTATCTGCAAAGATCAAAAGAAGTTTAAGGAACTTGTATTTTTGACCTTCCAACCACCTCTAACTACCCGTCATTTTTGGTTCAAACCACCCTTTCCCACAGCTAAATCTAAAACGAAAGACATGTTTCAACACTCTCAGAAACACACAGAAATACAGTGAAACAAAACAAAAAAGTTAAGAGACTCAAGACAGCATGATCAAGTGTCATTCAGAAGGCACGAGGAAATGAGGCGGAGATCCTGTAGGGGAAGCAGCCTGCAGGCATGTCACTGAAGACCACAGCAGAGCACGTATGCCAGAGGAGGCAGGATCAAGGTTTTTGTATATAACCAGGAACCTACTTAAGTCACAACCAGACAAAGGAATTTTCACAGCTTGGTCACAACATGAAGAGCAGATTTCATGGGCATTTCCCAGCAATCCTGCTTCTTGCCACTGGTTAGTGGGCAGGCCCTGGTGGCCCTTCGTGCCCTGCATCAGTCACACCTTCCACACCCAGGCAGGCTGCGAGGCAGCAAGGACCACGGGGAGCCAGTATTTTACTAACTTTTTTTTTTTTTTTTTTAAAGTTGATTTCACAGACAATTGAGACCGTCACAGGTTATACAAACAGAAACTTCCTTCTGACACTCTCTCACTAGCATTATTGATCCTAAAAGCTGAATTTTACACGATTATTTCTCTGCTTCCCCCCCCCCAATGATTTTTTTCCAATTTTGAGGAACAATTGTTATTCATTTGTAGTGTTTGAACCCTAGACCTTTAGATACACAGAAGAAAGAGTTGGAGTGACTTATGGCAAGTGAGTGGTTGGCTTTTGCATAGACTTTTGTGACACGGATGTGACATAAGCCACTATTTGCTAGAAACAAGTGAGAAACCAAGTTCTTGCGCCTTGTTCCTGGCTTTGGAAAAGAAATGCTTTCCAACAAGGATGCGTCTATACTGCTGCAGGGCTGCTGTTGAAAATTCAGCCCGGCCCATCGCTCCCACTCTGCAGGTTCCCAACTGGGAACAAGGTGGTGAAGATGCTCCAGCAACGCAGCCAAGCTGCTTCTCTCAAGAAGAGTTAGAAAGAGATGAAGAGTAGCAATGGGAGGGAGGAAGGGAAAGCATCCCCAAAACATCCTCACTGCTATATTTCTGGGTTGGGAGCCTGTAGGTACGTAGGACAGCTTTCAGCAGTTTTCACTAATTTTGAGAGCAGTGTGGAGTCAGCACAGACATGCCCGAAGTTACAGACAGCATCTGAACCTGCCACTCTCTCAAGGACAGCCCGGTTAAACAGATAGAAGCGTGGGGATGTGTCTTCTGCAGAAAAGTTAAGATAAAATGTAAGCTAACTTGTGTACCCAAGCAGCTTATCTGAGAAGAAACGTCTGTAGAGCCGATTTAACCAACAGTCCTGAAGTCCAGGTCACCTAAGGATCCAGACTAATTTGCATATTTTGACATTGTGCTGTGGAGGAATAATGTAGACAGACCCTGTATCTGACCAAGTAAAGACCTAGGTTCTGTTCCCAGGTCTGTTATCACAGTAGGTTAAGTATGTTAAGTAATATTAATATATTTCTTTAAGAAAAATTCTTAATTAAGGCCTAATTATTAAAATTATTTGAGATTAATAAATGTTCAAGCAGTACGAGTCCATTTCCAAAAAGTCTTAAAGGAACTCTCTACTGGTGGAAATCACTGATTAAACACCTGGAATCAGAGCTGGTTAGACATGCTAAACCAACTTGACAGCAGTAGCCTCCTCTACAAGTACAGTGAGAATCTCAGTTTATTCCGCTTCTTCAGTTCAATGATTTAGTTACTGAAAGCTGAAAAACTGATTAGGAGTTAGAGAAGCAGAAGCGTTTGTTTTCTCACTCGTATTTGATCAATAAAAAAGGTGAGGTCTATCTGGAAGAACAAGGTAACCAAGAAAAAATAAATAGATAAATAAAAACAACAACCACCACCACCAGTTAATTCAAACAGTATTAATAATCCTTCCTTTAATTGGCTTTAACTCTAAAACAAAGATAATTAAAAAAAATAAATCAAACTGTTTATCCAATAACATTTAAGGCACTTTTAAGTAACAAAACTAAACTAAAGTGGTATTTTTGTGCACTTGAGTTCAATTCCAGTTTCATCCAAATACACCTTAATACAGATCACAAGTTAAACTTAAATAATAAGTCGCAATATTAGAAAATATGTGATGTAACTACTGTATTTACTCAAATAGAAGATGACCCTGATTATAGGACGACCCCCAATAATTAGATTCTATATATGGAAGAAATTCATACATTTGTTACACATTTTCCAGGTATAGAATCTAATTAAAGACCTTGTCTCCCTCCCACTGCTACAGCAGGAAGAAAAATCAGCAGAGGTGGGGGCAGAGGGGGTGGGAGGAAAAAAAAGAGGTCAAGTAGCCCCTTTGCTTTCTGCTTCTCCCAAACTTTTCCCCCTACTTTCTGCTTAGTGTCAGACCCCGCTTTTCCTGAGCGCATGGAAGTGAGGAGCAAATTTGGAACCAATAACCTTGAAGTTAAACATGGCTGTAGCAATCTGAATATAAATGTAGTATATCCAAAATGGATCCTTTTTTCTTTTTGAAACTGCTGTAAATTTTAGCACAGGCACTCCATAAACACACTTTTGAGCAGCACTTTGGCACCTACTTGTATACATCACAAACGATGCATGCTGTGAATCCAAAGCTAAAGGCTCATGGTTTACTATATTGTTAACTGGGCTGGTGGGGTGGGGAAAAGAGTTGGCAGTGAGGCTGACTGTACTCCATGGGCACTCCCATATATTTTATTCAAATGGGCTGCACTAACCTATCTTTGTGGTAGGTTCCCATCAGCATACTGGTCCAGCGTAGGTCATGTGTTTGACAGGCATGCACAGTGTTAGCTGCAATTAAATCAACTTCATAGCTGGTTTCCATTGACGAGTGCATGCTGCTTTTGGCAGCAGTTTAACAGATGATGCATTTAGTGAGATTTCCTTGTATGCACTTACAAGATGAAGGACTTCCTCCCCTCATACTGATAGGGGGGGGGGGGGGGGG